AAAAGATAATTATTTCACAGGTTACCTATTTAATGCCATAATTTATCCCAGGTGGCAAATAAGCAATACTGAGCTGACGAGTTCAAATGAACAGGAGCACCTTCTAGCAGACTTCTCACAGAGTCTCGGGCCAGTTCTTATAACATGTTAGTGACTCACGCCAGTGTCTTTGAGAAAAGCCCAGTGTCCCTAGTTCAGAGACATTTAAAGGATCTGTTATTTACAAATGTTTCTCAATCTTAAAGATTTCATTTTTTAATGAGGAGGATGTACGTATGGTTACTAAATGTACAGATCTAATACTGTAGGTAGTTACTAAAGAGCCACATTTCACTTTCATCACCAGCATTCTGTAGTATATGCTTTATTTACAATGTATTTTAGTTTTATGAACAAATAGAGTAGAATACTATCCTAATATTACCCAGCTTTATTCATTATCTGTGGTAAAATGAGCTGCTGAAGACAAGGATTACATCTACTGAAAACTCTCCTGTTTCTTGTACTTATACTTCTCTCCATACTAATAGTGATTATTAAGAATTGTAACCTAGCAAGGTCAGCCTGCCTAAAATAAACATTTAAAAATTTAGTGATATTTTTTGAGTTTGTTATTTTACAAATTAATAATAAGTTAAAATAGATTGAACCATACTCTGAAATAGTTAATGTATTTTTTGGAGAGCATCAGATGATAAGAATATATGTGTGTAGGGGGAGGAAATGGAGATGAGATATTCACAGAGCAAAATTATTTTCCTAATAATTTTCTTCTGTAATCAAATCTTCTGTTACCCAACATGTTCCTAGTATGACAATAAAGAGACATAATCAGTCCTCTGCGCTTTAAAAAGTTAATTTATTAAATTTTGGTCATACATAAAAGAACATTAAGTATTAGGCTTGCAAACTACTTGCATTTCTTATCTAACATCTTTTAAGACAATTTGATTCATCTAAATCCACATATATGTTATTTTAAAATCAAAGAATATTAAATAATTTCAGAAAACTGTTTTAATAATATACAGCACTCCTCTGTCTGAAAATATTTTTAAAACATGAGTATTGACAAATTATAACCTATTTTAAATTGTGCAGAGTTTTTCATGTATTAAATTTATTTTACCCTACAAGTAGTATAAACAAAATAAACATTTAAGCTAAAAAGTTCAAACATTCATGCTCATTGATTTAGATAAATACAGTGAAGTAGAGTAAGTAATAATTGCTTTAGATAAATACTAAAGAGTGTTATGTGATCACTCATTATAATTTAAAATAGTGCTACAGAAAATGTCATCTTGGCTTGCTAACTTTTTCTTAATTGAGTATGTGAATATGAATATCTAATTATGCAATGCAAGTAAATAATAGTTTGCAAGATTGGCAAATTTAACAGGTTAAAAAGTGTACATTCTAAGGGCATGTAATTCTTGTTCACATAATTATTGCCATTCTTTTATACTAAGATCAAAACCTAGATAAATTTTGTGCTTAGGTCTTTGAACAGTTTTAAACTTCTACCGTTAAGTTAGAAGTCACTTGCAGAAAATGTTACTCAAATTATTTTTTATGATAAAATAAGCATAAAAAACCATGTTGATTTTCTGTCACAAGACTCTGATGTTTTGTTTTGGTTCTACTGTTCATTCCTTTTAGGTAATCTTTCTCAACTATTATTTTATTTATTCTTACTTTTCATTTCTAAGTTCCAGTATACATTTCCAATTATAAATTAATCAAAAATTGCAATGAAATAATGTCCTGTGTTCTCTGTGCCTTAACATCACAAAAGTGTACCACTAAGTGGAATTTAGGAATATGGAACTTCCTAAATTCAGGCAACTTCAGGCAACATGGTGGACTGTGTCCAAGTACAAAAAGGGCAGGCTATGCTTTGTGGTGGACTAAAGCCTAGGGCCCAGGTTGGGGATGCCTCTGCGTGTGTGTGTGTAATTCAAGGCCTTTGCATAAAACCAAGAACTTGCAGAGACAACATACTTAGTAGGTGAACTAGAAAGAAACTTTAATCCACTGAGTAAGACTGTCAGTATTTGCCTGCCTCAGTCTTAGCTCTGGGTAAAAAATAAACAAACAAGTGAACCCCCAAAAGTGTCTCCTGTCTATTCCTAATACTAGGTTTGCATTCTACCTGAGTTAAGGCTAGAAACCACAATACCTGTGTAGCCCTTCCTTCTCACTCCTAGATAATCAAGCTGAAATTTTGGGGTGATCTAAGTTTGGTAGTAATATCAGCAGTCTGACAAATGCAAATACAAATTCTCTCTTGAGGAATAAACTTTAAATCTAGGTCTAAACATTTTTCCAGAGCTAAAAATCCAAGGAACATGGGTTCAGTAAACAAACCATCCCAGGTAACAGTGACAGAAGAAATAAACACATAAACTATAGAATTAGATCCACAAAACACCAAAGATTTGGAAATATCAGATACAAAATCTAAAATGTTTGCTTCATATAGTTAAATCAAAAAGGATATTGGGTATATGACAAAGGTACAAGATATTATAAAAACCAGCATATATGAAGAACAAAGGGAATTCTCAAACTGAAAAATGTAATCATTGAACTTAGCAAACTCAGTGGAATGGAAAACCTGAAGGTTGACAAGTTGGAGGCTGACACTCTGACTCAAAATCAACCTTTGAGACCCTACAAAATGGAGAGGATTGGATGGATCTGAGGATGGAACATAACAAATTTAGAACATCTTAGAGAGAATTAAAGTTATCAAGAACTAAATGTGTGTGTGTGTTTGTGTGCGTGTGTGTGTGTGTGTGTGTGTGTGTGTGTGTGTGTGTATGGGTGGGGGTTGGGGACAAGGTTTTTAGCAGCCCAGGGCTGAGGATGGTTAGGCCCAGTAGTGGGAGGATAGGTGACAGAAGACCTTTTAAATTCTGCTTTGGCCTCTCTCCCACAGTAACTGTCCCATTGACAGTGTCTATCACTGGGTAACTAGATCATTAAAACATAATGTGTACATATTATGGAATGCTATGCAGCAGTTAGAAGCAATAGATTAAATATAGTATATACAGAAATATGAATATATCTTTAAAATCACAGAGCTTAAGAAAATTGGAAAAGATATAACTTACAGAAAATAGGTACTCAGGATAATATATACTACATGAAAACATACACATACCAAGATGTGCACCAAACACATTAAAATATTTGCCCATTATATTAAAATGGGGTATGAAAGTGGGGACTAGGGACAAAAGAGAATAAGTAAATAAAACCAGAGGGTCTTTGTTAAAGCCAGTTATAATTGTATATCATGAACTAAAGAGTATAAGGAGAATGATCATGCAACCCTATGAACCTGAAGTTAAAACAAAAAGAAGGAAAAACAAACTCAATGGATGAGTTGGAGAGAAGATTAAATATACAGTTCCAAGAATAAACTGGAAGAGACATCTAAAGAAATTATCTGGAGGGTAAGTTCGAGATACAAAGAGTGGTGAGGAAAGGTCAAAGGATATGGCATGTAGAGTGACAGGATCTAATGTAGAGTTTGAGAACAGTAACATTCACAGAGAGAATGGCTGAGAAGAGTTCATACTTGAAGGCAGACACCCATGCTCAGACTCAAGAAGCAGCAGGACATACAAACATAAGAAATAGAAAGAAACTAAGAACATCAAAGACAAAGAGAACACATTAAAGTAGTCAGAGAGAAGAGACAGACCACCTAATGAATAATCACTCACTAGTGGCTATCCACCCAATAACAAGAATGGATGCCTTTAGAACGGGAAATATCTTCAAAGTGCTGTGAGGAAATAACTGTCAATCTAGATTTGTGCATCCAGCAAAACCATCTTTCAAGAATGAGAGTAAAAATAAAGACATCCTCAATCAAGCAAAAATAGAATTTACACCGGCAGACCTTCACTAAAGGAACGTTCAGAACATGTACTTCAGAGAGGAGAAAATAAATGCTAGACTATCTTATTTACTTATTATGAATGATATTTTGTAATGTTATTTTTAAAATCATTTTCCTTTTCTCAAAACAGTAGCAAATTTATGAAGCACAAATTAACTGGGCTTTATTACCTGCCTTGTTTGCTTATATACTGCATCATCATTTATGTCAGATGCAAATCATGTGGTACTCTGATATTAGAAGCGTTGAATCACTGGGCTTAATGGCACATGCCTGTAGTCCAGGTTCCCAAGGGGCAAAGGCAGGAGGATCACTTGAGCTCAGGATTTGAGACCAGCCTGGGCAACACAACCAGATACTGTCTCAATTGAAAAAAAAAAATATTTGAATCATTGACACAATGCTGCATGTGTCATATGAAATTACACTGCATTACACGATGTTGTAATTCAAAACAGTACACATGAACTCCAAATCCAATAGGTGAACATCAAAATGAAATACTACATCTAGCTTCTCAGTTTATATACGTGGAAGCATTTAGGAAAGGGTTAATTGCAGTATTTGCATAACTTTTATAGTTTATACTAAAGCCAAATGCTATAATCAATTCTGTAATGATTTCAACATTTGCTCCCATAATAAACCTAATACTAATGTCCAGGGCAATTGCTGAATATATAGTAGGTTCTGTGTTTTCTTAGACATTAAATCTTATCAGTATCAAACTTGCACTCGAAAGGTCTTATATAACAAGAAATTTTGTTCTATTGAGCCACAGTATACAAAGTAATAAGGAACATTTATGCCTGATTAAATATTGAAGTGAAGTTGAAGCATTTAATCTACTGCGAAACTCATTTAATGCACACGCATCCTGGAAATATAAGTATTATTGATATTATACTTGAAGGGAACATTTTCATCCAGTGTAACTCATGGAAATTTAATTTCCTTCTTCTGTGAGAACTTGGAATTTGTTAAACTGTGTCCATTTCCAGCACAATTTTCTAATAGTTCGTAAAGTGTATTTTCACACATTAGAGAATAATTTGAATGACTTAAATTCCACAGTGACCAATCCATTGCTGTGACGGTACATTTATTATAACAGGTGAAAATCACAAGGAAAAATTAAAAACCGAACAAACAAAAAATCCCTGTTTTGAGCTTATCCTGAAGTTGATTTTGATGTCCATTTTCATGCCACCATCCTGTTTTATATTATGATAGGTTTTGTGACTAAGTACAAACTGGACTGATCTCAGATCAGATAGAAATCGGCACTTTTTAAACAAATACAGCAATCACATTTGCAGAAATTAAAAAGAAACAGATGAGCTTAGGATGTTTAGGCTAATTTTGATAGATTTCCTTTCTTTCCTTTTAGCTTCTCTAAGATTTCACTTTGTATCTAAATAAAACATCAGAATCTGGATACTGGATACCAAATAGCATGCGGCGGTAGTCTATTCCTATGGGCTTATCATCAATTATTTCTAAATCAAAGTAAGTTAAAAGTATAACCAACAATTGCTTTATTTCCATAATCGCAAAAAATCGGCCTGGACATTTGGTGGTTCCAGTTCCAAATGGCATTAGGTAACACTTCAGCTTTTTCCCTCTTTTGAAAAAGGTGGTTTTCTTCTTACCATCTTCTACAAAACGATCATATCTGAACTCCTGTAGAGGAGAATATAGTGTTAAAATTATTAACATTTCACATAAAATAGTTTGAGTTCAAGTCCAAAAAGTTGCTAGCTCTCTGTCTGTCTTAGAAAGCTCATTTTAATCAGGTATACACCAGAAAAACTTGACTGAATGTAAATAGGTGTGAACTTTAAAAAAACTCAAATACTACTAGGAAATTATTTTCTCCACATCAAAGAGACATGAAAAGCTGTAAGACATTTTTTCTCCACTCTTATTTCTCTCCTAAGCTGAGTTTCCCAAGTATAGTGGCAATATCTCTATTTTTCCTCCCTAAGGTGGGTCCTGACACATGGGCACAATGTTGGGGAGAAGGCAAGGGCTCTGGTGAGACTGCCATTATTACCCAGGACTGAAGAGTCCTAACTAGCCACAGGAGCTGCCTAACTGTGGATTCCTAATTTGAGCTTCTCTTCTCCCTTCCCCACCAGCTACTGATGGATGAGAACTATGAGTTTAGGATCTGGTGCTGATGTTTGGATTAAACAGATACAAAATAATAAGATTCAGGTAAAGCACTAGAGAGGAACTAAGCCACAAAATCAATCTTCTTTGTTTTTTGATGTTGTAGTGAATTTCTTCTATGAAAGTTCTATTAAAATCAGCTCTGTTTGGGTTTACTCTAGCGTGGCAGGTATTTCTGATATGTTTTCATAAACAAGTTATATTACTTGGTTACAGGAAATCATGGGGCTGCTTTACTTAGGGTGTTGGAATTGCTATCTTAATTTTGCCTTGCTGCCAAAGGGTTATGGTTCAACTCTCACTTGAGTTTCTTAGAGCGGACTGAGTAACCTTATTTTAGCCTATGGTGAATTAATCCATTGATTAAATTAATGCCTGTGGCTTGCATAAAAATGACCAAGTATTTGGTGTAGTTGGTGTCATTAGCATTAGACCTGCTCACACACAACTTTGATATGACTACATGAAGTCAAATGCAAAAAAGTAGGTCAGATCCAAAGCATTTCAGGTTAAAGTGAAAACCTTGCAATATGTGGGTAGATTCTGAATTCATCACAAATGATTTAATTTTCTCACTCAAAACCAGTGTTGTTAATGTCAGTGAACCATTTCCTTTAAAAGCATTGGGTTTGTCCTCATTTATGCAGAATTCTTATTTTGGTAAGTATTTGAACTTAGAAAAATTCTGAGTAGTTCCTATTTCCTCTCAAATTGCAAGTGGATGCAATGATAATGGCAAAATTTATCCGCACTTTTATAACTGCTCAATTCCTCGTAACAAATACTCTGAGCCTTTTAAAACATGTATTTTACCATAGTTCTGGGATATATCCCAACTGTATCCAATCAATGCTAAATGAACAAGGACACCCTTTGTTGACATAAATGGTCACTAGAGATAGAGTGACTAAACGTAACTCTCCTGGTGACCTTCTTCCATTTCTGGAGCTCAGGCCTGAGCTTAGTCCTGCTGCTTCCTCCTTCACACTGACGAGTCTGGGGAGACTGGCCCTCTATCCACCAGCTCCCTGCCTAACCCAAATCAGTTTAAGTGAGCTTTGCTGTGGTACAATTTGTTAGGAAGGTTCTCACTGTAGCCCCACTAGTTAGACCAGCAAATGTGAAATGAAAACTTAGCTTGGATTATGACTTTTTATTGTCCTGATACCATACATAAGCCATAAATCACCGTGGTTTTCAGATTCCTCTTTGTGAAAATAAACGTGCTGCCCGCGGAGAGGCCTGTGGCCAACACATGATGCAGGAGTGCTCCTTACCCATGACCTTCAGCTAGGGTTTATATTCAGTTCCCTCAAACTTCTACTCAACGAGTAACGCCATTCCTCTATTTTCTATCACGTTTTATTCAATTTCTTCATCGTAAACATCTTAGAAATTCCTATTCGGTTGTTCATTTTGTGAAACTAAAAGGGAAATGGCCACTGTCTTTATCTCTGTGACCACCACGAAGTTCAAAGGGCACAGGAGCATAAATGTATTTTTGAGTTAAAATTTATTTGCATTTTGCTTTATTGCCTAGGCATGGAAAACCTAAACAGGAACCAATGTTAAGAAGGGCCTGTGCCAGCTGCTAGGGATATAGTTTAGTTGTAGCTGAAAAGGGAGGGGGTATAATAATCTCACCACTGAGATTCTTGGGTCACAGCAACACAGAACAAAGGTTCAGGAAGCTCAAGATATATCCATTCATTTGGAACAACTTAAACTTGGAATTCATCAAGCTGACTGAAATTCTTTACAGTGACCATAATAAGCATGATGCTTCACAATTAAGGGGAGTCAATTAAATGGATGAGAACAGAAAAATCACAAGAGAAGGTTTAAGACACAGGAGTTCCCCATGGTTCCTCTAATGATTGTTGCAGTTGACTTCCAAACATTGTTCTTCTGCATAAAATGTGTCTAGGCACTAATCTTGGTAATCGCATTATTCGGGTCTCTGACTGGTTTGGGACAGAATGTGTGAAACAATCTGGTCATTGCTACAAGGGAAAAGTCTATGGGGACCTATAGGGACATCTAGGAGAAATCCTCTTCTTGTGAAGAAAATAAAACAAAAAGAAATGGTTGATTACCTTTCCTTCTCTGGACCTCATCATGTGTGACTATGATATCTGGTTGTTCCCAGGTTAAAGACAGAGCTAACCTACAGGAGATGGCAGAGCCAAGAAATCCCAAGAGTTTGGAGCAATCACATTTTCTTATTTATCTCTGTATGTTCAAAGCCTTCAACACAATGCTATTCCCATAGTAGAGGTTCCATATATGTTTGTTGAATTAATGAATAAATACATGAGAATAAAGTATATTTTAAAAAACATTTTCAAGCTTTTGAAGAAAACAAAGATATTGAATGAGTAAATAAATATGTAGAGTATGATGAGTTGATGAATATTCAGTGTTTACAAATAGTAGAAAATTGTATAATATTGAAGCACTAGAAATCAAGTTTGGATAGAGGACACAATTTTCTGGAGAGAGAAAAGATTTTGGTATTCGTGACAAAGGAAGATTGCATAACACGCTAATTTGTGTTCTCCAAATACTATGTTTAGTACAGTTCAACAGATTTTTTGAAGCACTTCCTGTATGTAAAACATTGAAGTTACAAGGCATAAAACATGGTCTTGCTGAAGTAGGTGACACACAATAGGATCATGTTTTGAATCCACTCAATTCATAATTTTGGGTATGGAAATGTAAATTAGATAAAAGATATGACTTTCTCATAATAAAAAAGAGAAATGTTTGAATGGATGGCTAAAGGGTTATACTGTTGCCCCTGGAGGCAAGATGGTAGAGTACAGTGGTCCCTTTTTATCTCCATGACCTGGGTTCAAATCAGCAGTGTGCTGCAGACAGTTTGATCAGCTTGTCAGAGTGTGCACATCTCTTCCCGACTCTGTGTTTAAGCTCTCCACATTGATAACATGAAATTGGCCAAGGGGGTAGTTTATACAATGAAAATTGACAAATACTACAAATCAGGGCTCAGAGCCCTGGTTTACCAGCACACTGCTAGTCCAATATGGTAGGTATAAAGTGTCAATTTATTGGTATGGCAGAAACCTTTTCTCAATAGGAAGCATCTAATGATGATAAATTAGCCATGTGACAGGGCTGAGTTCCTATACTGCAAGCTTGTAGGCGAAGAGGACTTTCTATTTCTGTGTCACTCACTATGCCTATCAAAGTGATTTTTGGGTAATAAATGATTGCTATATGTTTCCTTTAAGTCTACTAGTGGCGCAATCTCTATCCCATTTTGTAATACAGATAAAAAATTATTGAGAGTACTTCCGCATCTGTCATGTCGTTCTAAGAACAGTGGCAATAATGAAAATAATAATTGATACCACAATTTTTATAGCGATTTAGAATTATTTCAAGGACTTTCACATTTATTCATCATTTTATTATCTCTACAACTCTAAGAGGTAGATAGGACAGAATTGCATTAGGTTAAACAAGATCTTTCATCTTTGGAGCTTTTGGGGGATATTCCAAAGGCTTTGGAATTGCATTGTTATTTCACCGTGTTTCTTTACCTACGTGGTTATAATGGATTACCATCTTAAATGTTTGACCTTTTTCCCCTATAAGCCCCACAGTGTCACCAGGTCTCCCTTTATCCCTCAGCATCTGTGGACCTAGGAAAGCCAGCTAACAGATTTGCTCTTCCCGATTGAGCTTCTTTATAGCTCCAGTTCTGGATCTTGCATTGTGTCAGAAAAGAAATCATCACTATTTACTACTGATTACCTGACAGCCTATTGCATGAATTCTAGCTGATAATATGTGTAAATTTGGGAAAGCCCTGAACCAACTTTAGAAAGCTATCCACTCTCAATTAATAGATTACCTAGCCTTTGTTGGATAGCATTTTTACCTATAAAGAGAGAGGACGGGAGAATTAAGAAGCGGTTTTTCTCTGTTTGTTCTCTTTTTAAATTTCACTTGGCAATTTGTTTTTCCACATACACAAGAGCCACCTGAATGGCTAACATTACAATAAGCTAAGCAACCAATATTCAGGGAAAGAATAATTCTTAATATAGAGGTTACATGTTGGTAGCTTAACGGCTCAATTAAGTCCCAAAACACCTTTTATTTATCCCATATTGTGTTTTAAACTTCATTTTTCCAAATATTTAAAAATTCCAACCTTCACTGAAAAGTATTTTTTTCGGGTTCTTTTTAGTAAAAAAATTAAAATGACTTCACCAAACTAGGTCTAAATGCTTGCAAGAGCTGAGGGCTAGTTCGGAAGAAGCCAGTGGTCCTATTTAGCGGTCTCCTGGCATCTCCTTTTGCCATAGTTCTTAACACTCCCAATAGTATTGCTATATTTATACACAGATCACTTCTGTATTTGATCTATTTAGGTCCAGTACATATTTGAATGTGCAATATCTGTCCTGATTTAAAATTATAACTGAAGCATATTTTCACTTTCAGTACATTTATCTATCCAAGCATCTCCTTATTTATTCAACTTATGTGTACAACCTCCTGTGAGCTAGGCACTGAGAATACAGAGATGGAAATGACGTGGTCCTTCCTCTTCTGGAGCTTACAGCAGCATATGGGAGCAATGACAAGTAAATAAATAATTGCAAAATACTGTGTGCTATGCCCCACCACAAACGTACGCACAGGGGGTAGTTTATACCATGAAAATTGAATGTGAACAATGTGAACAATGGCAAATTCTTTGAGGAATGAAGTGGGATTCAGGCACACTGTCAACAAAGAGATGATTAGGTGATTCCTGTTGAGTAATTTGGAGCTTGCTGGGTGCACAAATAAGGAGGGACATTCCAGGAACAGGGAGATGCAGATGCAATAGCTCTCAGGTATGATGGAAGACCATGGCCTGTCTTTGGAATGCCAAATTTTAGAGTTTTTTGGAGCTTGGAAATTCTGAACCCATGCCTTGTTGGGCTGGGAGAATCTATGTTCTGCTGAGGCTCCTGTCTCTCTGTCCTCCAAGAATAACTTTCCTTCTATCTGCCTTCCTTATTTTTTTGGCCTAACATCTACTGCCTCTTATCAACATCTGAGTCCTGCTCTTCTCCTTCAAGGCGTGTTGGATATAAAAGGCAGGTAGTGATGAATGTGAGTCTCCTGAACCATGCTTTCAGCAACAAATGGCTCATGGCAGACTTTTCTAGAACTCTCTTCTTTTCTTTACTGTCAGTATGCGGTGGCTTGGGATGGGCATCTGTTTTATGAGCATCTATAGCATCTACTTATTGCCATATTAAGTTGTTAAGAATCAAAGGAATAATAGGTTTGTCTGACAGTGGTAGTCACTCAGAAAAATGTTTACAGAATGAGTAAGATCTTTCTAAATTCTATAAAAGTGGTTCTGAGCTATTACCGCTTATTCTGTGTCAGGAATTATCAGCATTCCCCAACTAATTTCAAGAAAACAATGGCATGATAATAAATTAGCTAGTTAATTTTAACATTAGTCAGGCATAATTGGCTAATGTTAAATCTAGTAAATAATAGAGAGCGTTCATCAACTGAAGTTAAAGCTACGCTAATGATGCTGAATCTGTATTCACAGTATTGAGATTTTGTTCTGCCACAGATGTTGTCTAAAGCAAGCCCTACTGGTTACTATGTGATTTAATATGTAAAGTTTGGGCATGGCTATTTAGTATTCCAAAAGAAAAAAATATATAAATTAGCATACTTTAGATTTTTAACTTTGAGTTTTAAGTTCCTCAAAGTCTAAATCAAGGTATTTTTCATCATGAGGGTAGGAAATAGGAGGAGTCCAAAGCACAGTGACATAAAGACAGTGGTAATCTGGTAAACATTTATTGTTTCTTGATAACACTAATGTTGATTTTACTATCATGACATGAAGAGTAAACTTAACGACTAGTGGAATAATCACATAATGAAAATAAGTTGATGCTAAATAAATTGTACAATTGCAGAATTGTAGGTAAAAATAAAAATTAAAAATATTTTCCAGATATTGGATATTGGGTATTCATTTGCCCTGTTTATTGAATATCTATTTATGTGTATAATTTTGTTCCTTGATATTTACAAATGTGGAGATAAAGCTTGTTGTTTGCAGAATGTTCCTTCACTTGCTAATACTCTACAATCTATTTGTTATTGTCATTCATACACTGCCCCTCCTTCTGAAACACACAGCAACAATATGTATGCTCCCCCAACACTTAAGTCATTTGCCTTTGCTGCTGAAATAAATTCAAATTTTCTAATTGTATTTGAATCTGCTCTCTTCTTATTAATTTTTGAAATTCAACAATATTGTACTCCAGCCTGATGCAAGACATCTACCTTAGAAACTAGATTTAAAGGTGGTCTAACTATGAACTGCTCAACCAGAGCAGCAAAGTTTCCCTTTGAAAAAAAGCATTTTATCTACAAAAACCACTACAGCAACATTACTTCCTGAGAAACACAGGCAGAATAGGACTGCAATCAATTTTCATGCAGGTGGTGAATCTCTGAAGTGGTATTAAGGGATGAACCAGGGTGGATTAATTTCCATTCTTTGATATTCATTAACTCCAGCTTCAGAAAAAAAACACAAGGAGATGACACAATTACCCTCAGAGCTTCACCCGTGAGCAGCAGCTTTACAATCTCAAGTTCATAATGCCATACTAATTGATCAAGAAGGGGCACATACTTTTAATAAGAGGTGAAAAAGTATATGGGCTTAACTACAGCAGTGGTAGTATTTGACTTTGGAACAGTCAACCCCACTTTGGAAACACTTGGTAAAATAGTAATCATCATTTATTCTCTAAGCCACCTGCCAATAGCTAGCCCTCCATGGTTTTCAATAATTCTCCACCAAGCATAATGCAATTTCGGCCAGAACATAACTGTGGCCAAAGTGCAATGTCCATTTAATTTGAAGTGACTAGCATTTAGTCTCATGACTGTATTTCTCTTTACAGATCATGAAACCTTTCAAAGATATCCTTAGTGAACACTTCAGTAAGGAGGAAACCTTTCTTATTAGGAGGAAAACCAGAGGCCATAAAGCTGTCTCAACCCCTTCTGGAACAAAGTGGCAAGAGGAAGTGATAGGGATGGAAGAGAAATGCACCTGCAGGATCTAAGAAGTAGCAATCATAGGCTTGATGTTTATTTACCTCTGGAGCTTCAAAGATTTCAGGGTCACCATGAAAGATTGGAGGAAAGACGGCTAGCAAGTCTCCTTTTCGCACACAGAAGTCCCCAGTCTCTGCACTGAGAGTCAAATCCTCCTCAACAAAACGAATGGTGGTTGAATATGAGGACAGACGTAAAGCTTCAAAAATGGTGCTTTCTGAAGGGAAAAAAAAAAACAAGTGATGCCTTTTAAGATAGGGCTGCTCTTGAAACGTGCTCTCAATTTGCAACAAAAGCTCATTACTAATGGCCTTGATTGAAAAGGAAATTGTTTCTTCATCCACCAAGAGGGAGCCAAGGGTGGCTGTGTACAGAGTGTGAGCAGGGGCAGTGGTCTGGCTCCAGCAAGGCTTGGAGGTATTTCACAGGTAGGAGGAAGCAGTGTTGTACCTGGGCAGAAAGTCATTAAGATTTTGTAGGAGAGAATGGTCTGGTAGAGAGGAATGCTGTGTTATGGGTATACATGTTCGAAATTAAAACCATATCCCAGTTAAAATACACAGCTTGTAAGTCATTCCACAAACCTTTAGAACTCTGATGCTTTAAAGCCAGGCTTAGCCATTTAATAACCACTTAGGCAGTTAATAGTAAAGTAATTGTAGTAGCGCTTCCTGAGACAGCTTAACGCTTAATTTCTTTTATGCTAGCTGTAAATAAAATGTGAGTCAACATTTGCTGGAAAAATTTCAAAAGGAAATGCTTTTAGAGGATTCAGAAGAAAACCATATTTTCCTCGGCATCCAGAGAGAATAACAGGCACCATCATATCCTGGAAGATTCCAGAAGCCGAATGTCCTTGCTTTCCCAGTGGCCTTCACCTTTTGCTCCTAGCATGACAGATTTTATGGCTAATTTCCGGCAATTTATCCTGGCAGTTTGAGGAGGAATTCCTTTGGGAATAATATGCATAATTTGCATAAATCATTCTGATAGCATGCATATCAGCGTGTAGCTCCTGTCTAGGTCTGCGTCTCTCTCTTCATAATCAAAACTGACTATGTTTCCACCAGCGTGAATGGGTCCTAGAATATAAAGCTTGATTCTCTCTAATCAGCAATGTGGAAAAAAAAAAGCTCCAAATGGAGTTTTTCCCCCTTCACATGATAACAAATGGTTGTGTTTATGGCTTGCAATTTAGAAATCACACACACACACACACACACACACACACACACAGAGCCCAGTTTCTCAGTGTTCAGCAAAGCTCTGAAAAACCGAGTACCCAATTATTAGATTATTAAAGGCAGGCCTATCTGTGAGGACTTTCATCAGCCAAAAATAAAAATCAACGTTATTTCAGTAAAATTTAAATCTATGCACAGGCTGCATAGGGCTATCAAGTAGCTTTGGGTGCTTTCTCCCGGGAGGTTTTTCCTTAAGCATGCATTTGTCTAAAGAAATGAGGCTGCGGTCAGCTTTGTGTGGCCAGTGTGGTGATTCAATGTGACGTACAGTGAGGCTGTGCATATTCTCTTGGACTTCCTTCGTTATTATAATCAGGCAGAGTCAAATCAGTTTGTTAGTGATGAGGCCGGAAAAGAACTTTGGTTTTGGAACATGGGCTCTACTGCAGATAGCCACAAGGCACCTGACACGATGGATTTCAGTGGCAGGACACCAAGGACCAACATTTCTGTGGTGAAAAGCAAGGGTCGGCCTCCCATGTACCGCTGCTGGCTCTGTTGGAGCAACGATAGCACAGCATCATTTTAGCTTGTGGTGTGAAATGGTAGCTGACATATGTAGCAGTGCTGTTCACCCAACGAGTCCAGTAGGGGTGTGGGAAGAAGAAACACAAAAGCAAAATAATTGTGGGGTGGCTGCTGTGACAGGGCAGGCATGTAATAGTCCGAATAATACGGTCACATCTGATTGGCTGATGTGCTCTCGGGAAGCACGGCAGCTTGCGCCCACCACAGTATCACAAATGACAATTGGGCAAGCATATCTTATGCAGAAGTTAATCACAATAATGGAGTGCAAAGTGTGGCTTAGCGGTCAGATCGTAAGTGACAAATCTGTTTTACCTTCCAGTACCAGTTATGTGTGCAAGATGAGGTTGGCTCTCGCTCTGAGCGATCGTGCCGATAATCATTAGACGACAAAAGTAATGAGTTGCGTTATTATCAACAATGGAGAGTAGAGCTTACGTGGCTCTGCAGAATAACACCCAGACACAAAAGCCAGCAGCTTTTCCACCAGCCCCAGTACGAATGCAGGCAGAGCTATACGTTAAGAAGAATGACAACTGCACAATAAAAAAATTGCAGCCTCTACTTGTAGTTGTCATAGTTGAGCAGACACCAGCCAGTGCCACTGACAGACCAGCTGGGCCCTGGGAGGACTTCCATGCTGCACCAGGAGGTACAGTAAATTATCCTGCACGGTAGAGCAACATCTGCTTCTGTGCTAGTGCCGAACAAACAAGGCAATTTAAAACATACCAAGGGATAACCAAGCAACAAATGAACATGACCCTCATTTTTTCCCCCTTCTCACACATGAGGTGCTAAACTTCTTTGTGCAAGCACTCCATGAAAGAGAAGCCAGGTTTTTATTTGATAAGGTGTTGTCAGAGAGATTTTACATGTTTCCAAAATGGAAAGAAAAAGCTTATAGTATTGTTATTCTTAGAATCTTCCCCCTTCTATCTTCATTTCTTTTATACCAAAGCTAGCACTCAGTTCTCTATTCGCTCTAGAATTAAAAAAAAAAAAAAAACTTTCCATATACTTATAAATATTCAGTCTTTAAACCTAATTTGCTATACTTAGTTCACATGCCTTCAAGCATTTGTCTTCCAATTTCCACTGAATAAATGCGTACTAATGAGAACTAGAGCAAGCTGCTGAGGCAAAGCTGGGTGACTTGGGTCTGGCCTGCCACCAGCTTGTGATAGGCGGGCAAATTGAGTTAAAATGAAAAGTCTTGTCAGCTGAAATTCAACATGGTAGCCAAACAGCAAGCTGTCAATCATCCAGCCAAAACAGAGGACTGCAGGTAATAAAAGGTCATTGTGAATCATTAGTACACTTGGCTTTCATATGGAAGTTAATTTTAATTAAAGATGATCTCTATCTGTAAATGTTTTATAAAACTTATTGTGCATAATCGTTGTTAATTTATACTAACATTTAGCGGGCATTCTAATTATTAAATCCATTATTAGAATTATTAGAATGCATTGTCGAAAAACGGCCATCAAGAATGCAAGTATTTTGGGATGAAATTTACACCAGGCACTGCAAGGTGCCAACAACTGCAACTGTGATTAAGATAAGGCTGCCTGTGAGTTATTAAGAACTGAGTTTACTGACTGGTATATGCTAGGAAATTGGATTACAAAATCCCCTCTATGAACTCACAATTCAGAGCATATACTATGTTCTTCACCTGGCTAGGGAAGGCTTCTTTCACTTTTCAGGATACAAAACTATTCTGATTAAGTATCCCTTCTAAGTGAAATACCAGGGAATGTCTTGAGCTAAAATGTTTTACAATACAACTGTGAAGGAAAATAACAAACGAAAAAAATATGGTTAAAAAGGCATATACATTTTCTCTTTTGCTCTCAGTTTTCAATTCTGGTTGTAATAAGGGACGGATGACTCCCATTTGTAGATTTAAGGCACTAAAGCAGCTCATGACAATCAATAATGCATGTTACAATGCAAAAACAAATAAAAGAACATCCGGGTTTCTGCCTTACACTTAGGCCCTGTCTATATATGTGGAATGGATGTACTGTGACATGGCCAGGCTGTTAATTTGGGTCATCTTAATGATTGGTGCAGGCTGGCATGCCATCTGATTAGCCGTGGTGATCTGTGGATAGCAGCAATGGATGGAGTGAAATGAACAGCCAGGCTCTGCCACAGTGACTGGGGCTAAACACCAGGCAATATTAAATAGAAGGTGGCTGTAAAAGCGGGAGAGGGGATGGATATGAAGGTGGTGTGCTCTGGAAGGTGTGATGAAATGAAGTGAGGCTCATGATGTGTGTGTTTGTGTGTGCGTTTCTACATAACGGTCTTCAAGACCGTTGAGAAGTTAAGTAAGAAATTGTGATAATCATATAATTTGAGGCAGAATCACTAATCCTTGGCTCAACAACTGTATATCTTAAGTAAGGTTAAAAATAAATCTGAATTGGTATAAATGCCTATCTTCATCCTGCATCTTAGACACAGTGTTTGGTTCACTGCTAAATTACAGACATGTAAATTCAGCATTCATATATTCCATAAATGTCTGTTAAGGCCCTACTCTGCTCGGAGCACTGGGCCACTGCAGCTGGTGTGAAGAAGGAACACTGCACACGGACTTGGCCTTTATGGACAATGCAATCTAGGTAGTGCAAAGTTGGAAGATACACATAAACAGGAATGCTCACAAGATTCTACTGAAGATATGGCACAATTGCATTATTTATTTATTTAAAATGGACAAAAATCATATATGTTTATGGTGTACAACTTGATGTTTGGAAATATGCATACATTTTGGAATGGTTAAGTCAAATGATTAACATATGCAATTATCTCACATACTGATCGGTTATTTGTGATGAGAACACTCAAAATCTACTCCCTTGGTAATTTGATACTGTACACTTTCTAATTGGATAACTCCAATGATGGCATTCAGAAAGCCCATTTTAGTAGAAACCTATTTTTCATACTGAGGTGAAATTTTCCTCCTTTTAATTTCTACCCTTTATAAAACACACAGGCCAAAAATGTCTAATCATTCTTCCATGTAACAACCCTTTCAAAATATGTAAAGACAACTATCATACCATTTTCTAATTGTGTGTCAGAGATGATATGGTGTTCAGCCTTTGCCATGCTGGATGAATTTAATTAGTCAATGTGCCTCTTAATATTTGGCAGAACTAGGTATGTACTATTTTAGTTGGAAAAGTAGAGAATTATTAATTTCTGTCCCTAGACACCATGCTTCTATTACTATTTTCTGGGAGCAGATGAGCAACAGATTTTTGAAATAATATCACTATTGTTTTAAACTTTCTGATATTCCAGAGATTATCAGCAACCCTGGATGCCCATTAGAATCACCTGGGATTGTTTAAAAAAATAAATGCCCCATTCCAATCTAATAGAATAGAAACCACTGCATTAACTAAAACCTTTCAAT